TTTTTACTTCTGCATCTAGTTAGTGGTCTCCCTGCTCACTGCAGGGGGGTTGGACTAGATGACCATTCCAACCCAAACCATTCTATGATTCTATGTTTGCAAGAAAAAAAGGAAAGGGAAATGGGGGGGTTTAACCCCCGTCAGCAACCAAGCCCCACGCAGCCGCCCTCCCCCCAGTGGGGTGGGGGAGAGAATTGGAAGAGCAAAAGTAAGAAAACTCATGGGGTGAGATAAGATCGGTTTAATAATTGAAATAAAATAATAATAATAATAAACTTTAATGAAAAGGAAAACAACAAGAGAGAGGCCAGTTGGGGTCGGCTGTCCTGGCCGTGCCCCCTCCCAGCTCCCTGTGCCCCTGGCAGAGCAGGGGAAGCTGAAAAGTCCTTGCCTGGTGTAAGCCCTGCTCAGCACCGACGGAGCCATCAGGGAGCGACCAACATTCTGCTCACCCGAAACCCAAACCCCAGCGCTGGGGCCGCTGCTAGGAAGGAAATTAACTCTGTCCCAGCTGAAACCAGGGCAGAAAGAAAAAAGAAAAGAAAGATTTTATATAAAAGTTTATATAAAGTTCATAAGCATCCGGCAGAGCGCTGACGATACATGAGTGGGATTCCCAAATGGGCATTGCTGTAACAGTGAGCGCTTTGGGAAAATTGCGTCCGCAGAAGGCAGCGAGTACGTACCTGCGTAATGGAGTAACATTTTGGAGTCTGATTTGTGCACGCCAAGATGTGCGGACGTAGCTGTTTAATTAAATTTCGGCATTACAAGCAAGAATGGCTTTGACTTCTCAGTGGAGCAGAATTTATTTGCTTCCCCCATTAACCCAGGCTCCCTGAGCAGGCATGCGGAGCGCGCCGTGCGGCTTCTGCGCTGGGAACCGGCCCGTCTCAAACAGGGGAGCAGATTACAAATAGAAAACACCGATAAAATGCATCTGGGTGGGCAACTGTTTTGTGCCAAGCGATTTGAGAACACTGGCCCATCTGAACTGCGTGAATACGCAATCCCATGTGGTTAATTTGGGTTTTTCTTTAAGCGAGCAATCTAGAGGCTTCTGGAATCCTCCGCCATGAAGAAGTGCGGGTGCTGCTTTGGGATTTGCCTGATGGTCTCAGGCTCTTAAAATTTGAGGTCACCCCAAAGCCTGGACTGGAACTTGCAGTGGGGGAAACCGCTAAGGACCTTTCTGAAGACGTTTTCACCCTCAGACGTTGGCCTTTCCCGTGCCCAATTTTTTTATTACTGCATTAGCACAAGTGTTTGAGAGTCATCTTCCTACATGGTGCATTCAATAAATTACGATGCAGAATCGATCGGCCTGGTTTTGTGTGCATGTTGAGTTAAAGCTAAGGTAAATAATGAACTGGAGTTAAATCAGACCGGTGACATTCCCAGAGGATATCTTTTAAGAGAGAATCTAGTTGACAGAATTCCTTTTATTCTTCAGGAATCTCTACATACACTACAAAATTAGTTCGTTTGTTAAAATTGCTCCTCTTTCCTCTAAAACATATATATACATATTCTCTTTTTAAAGCTGACAAGTCTACTTTTGTTAACAGCCAAACAACATCCTGTTAAGATCCTTATAATAAAGAGAACATAGATTCATCAACGTAAAGATGCAGTGGAGGGGGAAGGCTTTTGCATTCAAAATGTCGTGGTTTGAGCCTGGCTGGACACCAAGGGCCCACCAAAGCCGCTCCATCGCTCCCCTCTTTAACCAGACAGAGGTGAGAAAAGTAAATCAAAGGGCTCGTGTGTCGAGATAAGGACAGGGAGAGATCATTTATCAGTTACCATTGCGGGCAAAACAGACTCAACTTGATAAAATTAATTTAATTTATTACCAATCAAAATCAGAGAAGGAGAGGAGAAAACCTGCTAAATCTTAAAACACCTTCCCCCCCTCCCTTCCCTCTTCCTGGGCTCAACTTCACTCCCAGTTTCTCTGCCTACTTCCCCCAGTAGCACAGGGGGACAGGAATGGGGGTTGGGATCAGTTCATCACACGTTGTCTCTGACGCTTCTTCATCCTCGAGAGAGGCCCCTTCCCCTGCTCATGCGTGGGGTCCCTCCCACGGCAGACAGTCCTCCACGAACTTCT